CATCTGGGCAGTTGGACTGTTTGGACTGTTTACCTGGCTCCTCTTGCTGTGGGAGGGCTCCGTCCCTGAGGACAGGGCGGTGGCTTGTCTGTGCTCCTGCTGTGGCGATGGTTCCGCAGGCAGGCCCCCAGGCCCGCCCTGGCTGCGCTGGGAGCTGAGTCGGTGGTGGCGGCCAGGCGGCCTCCATGCTCTGGGAGAGAGGGAGGGCATATGCTCACATGCCTGTGGGAAGCCCTCACCTGGTCCCCGGGGAGGCAGCTGCAGCTTGTTCGATGAGGCCCCTTCGTCTCCTTTTCTTTTGAGCTTCTGAGGTTGCGCTCTCGTGGATTTGTCCAACGGTTACAGTGCTCCAGGGCAAGAGCTGGGAAGAGGGTGCTTCCGGAAGCCGGTGGGGCGCGGATCCCTCGGTCGCGCACGCCTCTCCCACGTGTTGGGTGAAAACAGCATCCAGGCTAGTTTAGGTGGCATTTCTCAAGTTGTGAGTGTGACCGAGAGCTTTCTGCCTGAATTTCACCTGCGTTTCTTTTCCTGGGGAGCATTTGTGACTCCTGTGCATTTCTTGGCAGGGCATTTGTCCTCTGTTTTCTCTGTTTTTGGAGCTCTTTGTATATCAGGGCTGTAAGTTGCAGTTATTTGTCCTTTTAATTAATGGTACTTTTGGTTTGTTTTTGTTTTGGGGGGCACTTTTCAACGTTTTTCTCATTGTCTCTGGGTTTTGATCCAGAGTTGGGATCATTTTCCGCTCCCAGGTACAGAGGAAATTCTCTGTTTCCTGCAGGTGTAAGTCTGATTTCTCACATTTTGGGTCCCTGGCAGGTGGAGGCCAGTGGCTGCCCCTTCCCCTCCCCCCACTCCTGGCAATGCCGGTCTGGCTGTGTCTCCCTCAGCCCAGGCACTGCTGGGTCAGCTGGCCACGCTCTGGGTCGTGGGTTCTGCTCTGCTGAGTGTGGCCGTGGGCCAGCGCCACGCCGGGTCAGCAGTGGGGTCTGATCCCCGGTCAGGCTGCTGGTCTCACTCCTGGCTCCGTTTGGAACCCAGGCTGTCAGCCCCCAGGCCCCAGGGCCTCAGACCGGCCTGTGAGGGAGGGGGTGGGCAGGGCTGCTCTCTGGGATGCAGAGGCGCATGCACGGGACGGGTTCTGCGGGCGATCCCAGACGGCCCACGTGCCTCAAACACCCATGTGCACGTGTTTGCGTGTGTGCGCGAGTGTGCACTGCAGCTTTGGGAGCAGGTTGTGGGGTTTTGTCCGGCCCGAGCGTGCAGAGGCCAGTGGGGCGGGTGCAAGGGTCCTTTGATGGGACGCTGATCCAGTCGGTGTGGGAGCAGCTGGAGCAGAGGAGGACCGGTGTCTGATGTCAGGCCTGTCAGTTTCAGGACCACGTCAGGACATGTGGCAGATGCCGAGTCCCTTGCAGGTTCCACGCTGTCGGCTGCCCCGAGATGGTGAGTCCAGGTCTGCGGCGGGACCACCGGGAGCTCCTGGTTCCCAAGCAGAGGCCGGCGGACGTGACCGCGCCGTGCGGACACGGTCTCCACTCCACCTCCAATCCGGCCCTCAGGTGTCCCGGCTCTGTCCGCTCGTCCCCAGGTGATCCCAGGTGCCCAGCCTTGACCGCCCAGCTGCTGGGAACCCCCAGCGTGTCGCAGCCCCCTGAGGTCTAGTGATGCCCCCTCTGCCTGTCCTCTCATCTCACCCAAAAAGCACACCTTGCTCCACCCGGCTCTTCTGGCCAAAAGCCCAGTGGTCGTTCTGGAGCCGCCTCCTGTCTCTCCCATCACGTCCAGTCTCCCAGAAGACCCTCTGTTCTGCCTGCAGACGGGTCCTGGAGCCTCTCTGCCTCCCCGCCTCACCTCTGTGGCCTGCGTGACCGCACCCCGGTCACTGGCCTGGCTGTCCTCCAGCACGCTGACTTTCCCCGGGCCCTGACCCACCTCCTGTCTGCCCGCCGCACCTGCCAGCTTCTGTGCAGCTCCCTCGGGCTTGGGCAGCTCCCTGCTCATGTGCCCTTGCCCTCCTTTCCCACCTGTTCTGTGCCCCCGAGGGCTGGGCGTGTGCAGGCCCTGCAAGCGGAGGCTGGCTCCATAGATACGGGCACACCATTCCTCTGCTCTCAGCGACACCCCAGCAGCATTTCCGGTGGCAGCAGTCCTGGCGGTGTTGTCACTTGGTGACTTCGCGACACTTGGTCTCAGTGTCCTGCTTTGTTTTTTCTAATGAGGGTGAACAAGGGTAGTGCCCCTCCCGTTCCCTGGGTTTGTGTTTGACATCCTGCTTCTGGGCAATGTGGTGCTCGTCATTTCCCGCTCAGGCCCAGGGATCCCTGGCGTGGGGGACATTAGAGGCCAGAGGAAGGGCCTAGGGCACATGCTGCCACGGCCTCTTCACGTCCCAGTGAGGACGAGTGTCCTATTGACCCTGTGGATCCAGCTGGACTCGGCCCAGCTTCCAGAAGCCTCAGGTGCCCGGCCATCCCCGGGCGCTCCCGGGCGCTGGGCCTCAAGCAGAGTTTCGTCCCTTTCTTTCCACTTTAGGCTTTTTGAGGCTGTCTGACCCTCCAAACTCGTTGTGGAGCTTTGGAAGGGATGTGGCTGCAAAGCCAGATCCGTAGGGACTATTTAAGATGAGTTCTATCCCCCTCCCCGCCGCCCAGCCGCAGCCACTTCTTTCGCGGTGTTTCTCCCATCACCTGAAACACGAGTGAGTCACGTAGGGAGGTCTGTGTTTCGCAGACGTGGTTGAGTTCAGACAGTGACAGGCGCAGTGCTGGCAGGTGAGCGAGAGGGCGGGTCACCCTTGTGTCGCCGCCGCGTGCTAGGCTCCGGTGCTCTAGCGAGGTGTGTGGCCGCGGGTCCCCGGGGCTGAAAGCGGGCGTCGTGCCTCGGCAGGTGGAGGGCGAGAGGCTGCAGGAGCACGAGGCGCAGCAGCTCCGGGAGCACCTGGCCCTGCTTCTGGGCGCCCTCCTGGAGGCCGGGTCCCCCCTCCTCAGCCAGGGCGAGCAGGGCTGGGGGCCCAGCACGCCAGGCCCGGGGGCAGCGCCCTCCCAGGCAGCGGAGCTGCTGCAGAGGTGCGAGGCCCTGGAGCGGAAGACGGCCACCTTCGAGAACATCGTCTGCGTGCTGAGCCGGGAGGTGGAGCGGGTGGCTGTGACTGCCGAGGCCTGCGGCCGGCAGCACCGGCTGGACCAAGACAGGATCGAAGCCCTGAGTAATAAGGTTTGTGCCCGCTTGCCCGCGGTGCCCAGGCCTTGTCGGGCGGGTGCCAGGGGCTCAGGGGGCTGCAGAGCCAGGAGTTTGAGGGCAGCGCCTGCATTTCCAGCGGGCACTCGGCTATCTGCGCTGGGCCTGAACGGAGCTCCTCTCTGAGCCCCTTCCCCGCAGGGCCCGACGCGGGACTCAGAGAGGCCGATGGTGGAGCCTCTTCTCTGACTGGGGGGCAGAGGTGGCCGTGGGGAACGTGCCTGGCGCTTCACGCGGGTCCCACGAGCGAGCGCGTTTCTTCCTGGGGTTGGGGTCTCGTGGGCATGGAGCCCATCCGAGAGCAGCTGACCCAGCAAGGCTGAGGCACTGGGCATGGCGGTCGTTTCATAGCGCGTTCCTGCCAGAGGGAAGCTGGTCTCTGTGGAGGCCCGGCGCCCTGGGGGCGCGTCCTGACGGGCCCCGCGCCCCCAGGTGCAGCAGCTGGAGAGGAGCATCGGCCTGAAGGACCTGGCCATGGCCGACCTGGAGCAGAAGGTCCACGAGATGGAGGCGTCCACCTTCGACGGGGTGTTCGTCTGGAAGATCCCGGACTTCGCCAGGAAGCGCCAGGAGGCCGTGGCTGGCCGCACGCCCGCCATCTTCTCCCCAGGTGTTCTTCTGGAACTTGCCCTCCCCCTGAGCTGCTGCCACCCTGGGCCCCCGCATGCCGGGGCTGGGGCAGCAGGGTCCCCTGGCGGAGCCAGCTCCTCAGCCCACGGTCACCAGCCTCACGTCAGGGCCACATCTCGTTCCTCAAGTGGCAGGCCCACCATGTCCGTGGTCGCCCCCTCTGCTCCCCATTGGACGTGAGACTCGTCCAGGTTGGGCTCAGTCCAACCGCAGCCCCTCTGCCCAGAGCCCCTGCCTGGCGCTCAAGTCTCAGTCCAGCCCCTGAGGTTCCTTCCCAGTGGGTAGCAGGGCCAGTGTGGGGTCACATTTAGGGCTTCTCGAAAGTGCTGTCTGATTGCTGCTTCCACTTCTAAGAGAAGTCTGTTTGCGCGAGCAGCTAGCTGCGTGCCTGAGGGAGACGCTCCCTCCTCGTGCCCTCCGCCCTGCGTGGCGTGTGTGTGTTTCCTGGGGGGGCGGCCGCGTGGGCTGAGCCCTGGGCGCTCACCAAGCACCTCCCCACAGCCTTCTATACCAGCAGGTACGGCTACAAGATGTGTCTGCGCGCCTACCTGAATGGAGACGGCACCGGGCGCGGGACGCACCTGTCTCTCTTCTTCGTCCTGAGGAAGGGCCCCCACGACGCCCTCCTGCGCTGGCCCTTCAACCAGAAGGTGCGCGAGGCCCTGCCCCGGCCGTGCGGGCGCACGGCAGCCCGTGGGTGACAGGTGTCGGCGTCACCACGCCTCAGTGCCCGGGCAGTGTCCATTGTCTCCCGGGCCATGCCGCTGGTCAGCCGCTCGGGACCAGCAGTTAGGGGTGGTGCTGCCTCAGAGAGTTTGTCCCAAGGACGGGGGGCCGCCAGGGGCCCTTGATCTGCGGGCATGGCCCAACCCTTGGGAAGCCAGAGCCCACGCGGGGGAGGAATCGGAGACCCGGGCGCTAGTCAGGACAGACGCCGTGACGACGCTGGGCAGCCCCGTGGCCCTCGTGGAGGAGGTGGCGTCACTGAGCGCAGGGCCGGCTCCTGCTTCTCCCTGGGGTGCTGTTCCTGGGGGCGGGGACAGCTGCGTGAGCTCTTTGGTGAGAAAACGTCCCTTAGACAAGCGTTGTCAGAAAAACGCACAAATGGACGTGGCGCGGGGTGCTGGGCTTCAGCCTCGGATCCTGGTGTCAGTGGACAGAGACGCCGGGGGGCATGGCTGGGCGGGGGCCGGGGCTCACGCGCTGCCCCCCGGGCGCTCCTCCCAGGTGACCTTGATGTTGCTGGACCAGAACAACCGGGAGCATGTGATTGACGCCTTCAGGCCCGACGTGACCTCATCCTCGTTCCAGAGGCCGGTCAGCGACATGAACATCGCGAGTGGCTGCCCGCTTTTCTGCCCCGTCTCCAAGATGGAGGCCAAGAATTCCTACGTGCGTGACGACACCATCTTCATCAAGGCCATAGTGGACCTGACAGGGCTCTAACTGCTGCCCACGGGAGCGGGGCCACCGTGCTGGGCGGGCACCTGCGAGCTCACGTCCCACAGGCAGGGGCCGCCTCCCGGGAAGGGGTTCAGCCTAAGGCCATCCAGGTGGGCTGTAGGCCCGCATGTCCCCAGCGGCTGGGCCGTGCCGGTGTGGAGCCCTCAGCCTGCGGCGGGGCGGCCGGGGCCACCGCGAGGGGCTGCTGGAGAGGGGGGACGGTCTCGGGCCCGGCCGCCCCTCAGGGAGAGCCCTGCTGGGCCGCTGACCAGGCCGGCAGGCGGGGAGGCATCCCGTGTCCCCTGCCCCGTGGTGCGTGCGGGGCGCACGTCCAGCACCCCCTACCCAGCCTCCGCAAGACACGTTGGCTTCCCTGTTGGGTGTGGAGGAGTTGCTGTTAAACCCTTGAATCTGCGGTGAGTGGTGTCCATCTGGCTCTCATCCTGGCCATCAGTGACTCTGGCCGGGGCCTCCTGGCCTCCGCGCCCCGTGTGTCGCCAGCTCCTTGAGTGGTTCCGTGGGCTCCCTGACACTGCAGGCTGGCTCGTGCGGGCCTCGGTGAAGCCAGCCGTTCTCTCTTCTGGGATGTTACTAGCTGGGCAGCTCCTCGTCCCTCAGGCTCCTCAGGGGCTGCCCTGGAGAGCAGGGCCACGTGCGTGCCCCCGATTCTGGGCCTGCCCCGCCCCTCCGTGCAGGGCCCCCAGGCCCGGAAGAGTGGCCGACGGCTTTGTCTGCATTTGGGACCTGACAGGTGGCATCTCCCCGGGACCAGGACTTGCCCGGCCTCCAGGTGTTTCCTCGACAGCAGCAGAGCCCGGGCAGCCTGAGCACAGGCTTGCACCTCGGCTGGACCCGGTCAGGGCCTCAGCCCGGGCCTGCAGGATGGGCATGGCGTCCTGGCCGGGAGCTGGCCACACCCAGGTGCAGTAGTGAGCAGGACTGGGTGCTCAGAGCCGGAGCCCTTATGGAGGACCCGTGACAACGTCGTCGCTTCTCTGTTTTGAGAAGTTAAAGAATTGAAAGGCACAGAGACTAATAAGCTCTGTGCGTCCAAAATTAACACATGTACACGTTTTGAATTCTGTATTTTAATTAAACATTGCAGAAAAGTTGAAGTCCTGCTTCCTTTCCCTCTCACCACCTCCTTCACTGGCCAAGGCACCGCCCCCATGGATTTGGATCCTTTTCTGTTTGAATTTGTGTGTGTGTGTGTGTGTGTGTGGGTCGCCGACAAGTGAGGCTCGTGCGCCTCTGCGGGCCCTTCTTCCCCTCCCGCAGGGGCGCCTGGTGTGCTGAGCATCGCATGGCGGGCCAGGCGCAGACGCACACGGTATCCCTCCTCCACGTTCCCTCGGGCATGTGCCTCCCAGCTCTGCCCTCCTAACCTGGACAGAGCATCCCCGCTGCTGCCTGGCCTGGCCCGTCCCGTCCCGCCCTTGCTGCTCGTGCGTGCAGGCTTGTTGCTCCATCCAGGGTCCCTGCCTGCCGCCCGCCTGCCTGCTGGGGTGTTGGTCCTGTTTTCCTCCTGGTCGGAGAGAGCTCCCAGTATTCCCGGAAACTGGCCGTGGAGCACGTGCGGGCTGTGTGTGCAGGTGTGTACACAAATGGGGCACTTGGACACACGCGGGTCATGGACAGTGCCGCTGGCCACTTAGTCAAGAAGTCCCAGCCCCCTGCCCCCACCGGCCTGACAAATACTGTTTTCTTCTGATGGTTCGGGGTTTTTTTTAATAAATAAATGTATTTATTTATTTATTTATGGCTGCGTTGGGTCTTCATTGCCGCACGCCGGCTTTCCCTAGTTGCGGCGAGCGGGGGCTACTCTTCGTTGCAGTGCGTGGGTTTCTCATCGTGGTGGCTTCTCTTGTTGCGGAGCACGGGCTCTAGGCGCACGGGCTTTAGTAGCTGTGGCTCACGGGCTCAGTAGTTGTGGCTTGCAGGCTCTAGAGCGCAGGCTCAGTAGTTACGGTGCACAGGCTTAGTTGCTCCGTGGCACGTGGGATCTTCCCGGACCAGGGCTCGAACCCGTGTGTCCTGCATTGGCAGGCGGATTCTTAACCCCTGCACCACCAGGGAAGTCCTCTTCTGATAGTTTTAAACACACTGTTTGTTTTTAACATACTGGGTTTTTACGTTTGAAGTTTGTTTATATATGGTGTTTGTGTGTGTGTTTCCATCAGGTCAGTTCAGGTTAAACCAAGTAGATTAATGAGTTTGTTTCCTTACCCTTAAAATGAAACAGAACAGTAAAATAAGAGGTGTAGAAAGGTACTCTTCAGCCACAAGGACAAAGAGTGGGAAGAAGGTGACAGCAGAAGGAAGACTTGAGCCCGCTTGTTGGGAAGGTGGGACGTGGGCACGGGAATGGCTGCCCTGAGGTGCCCAGGGTCGGGAGAAGGCAGCGCTGGAAGGTCGTGGGCTCAGAGACTGCAGCGGGAAGGGTCTCCATCTGGGGGACTTGCCAGAGGAGCTCGGGGACAGGTGCCCGCCCTGCGATGGAGCGAGGAGTGGACGTCTGCAGTCAGGACTGCAGGCGCCGGCCCTGCCCTCGAGGAGTGTGAGCTGCTGTGGGGTCACTTCTGCCAGGAAACCAGGGTTCCAGGGGGAAACTGAGCTCCAGAGGAGGAACCCGGGGGCGGGCCGCTGCCTTGTAACCTGGTTTAGGACATTCCCGTCACCCGGCCCCTGCCCCTGGCAACCACTGACCCACCAGAGTCTCCACCAATTTGCCTGTTCTGGACATTCGTATAAGCAGAGTCGCACAACCTGGCCCTTGACGTCTGCTTCTTGGAGCATAAGGTTTTCAAGGTTCTGAAGCCTCAAGCTGAGTGACCGTCCCGGTGTGGATGGACACGCAGTAATGGACTTGTGGGTGGGTCTGCCTTCGGCTGCTGTGAGCACTGTGTACAATGGACGTGTGTTTCTCTCTCTCCTGGAAGATGCCTCCGAAGGGAGCTGTGGGGCGTGTGTTTAACTATTGGAGGAGCTGTCTGTCAGTCAAGCCACCTTCCAAAGTGGCTGTACCATCTGGCTGTCAATCAAGCCACCTTCCAAAGTGGCTGCACCATCTGGCTGTCAATCAAGCCACCTTCCAAAGTGGCTGCACCATCTGGCACTCCCACTGGGATGTGGCTTTTAATTTATGCCTTTATTTGACCTCCTACTCCCTTGTCTTCCATGTTATCTAGAGTTTTAGTTCCATCTTATTTTTTCAACACACAAAATAATCATTTAGAAACATCGAGTAGGGACGTCCCTGGTGGTCCGATGGTTAAGGCTCTGCGCTTCCACTGAAGGGGGCACGACGAGTTCGATCCCTGGTTGGGGAACTAGGATCCCACATGCCATGCAGTGCGGCCAAAAAATAAAAAAGCTTCAAGTAGAGGGACAGCATCATGTGTGCTGTCTGCTCACAGCTGACTTGTGCCCCCTCGTCTTCCTGTGTCTGAGGCTCGTTCTGTGGTGCAGGCTGTGGTCCACGTTGGTGGCTGTTTCATGCGCACTTGAAAAGAACATGTCAGGGCTTCCCTGGTGGCGCGGTGGTTAAGAATCCGCCTGCCGGTGCAGGGGACACGGGTTCGAACCCTGGTCCGGGAAGATCCCACATGCTGCGGAGCAACTAAGCCCGTGAGCCACAACTACTGAAGCCCACGCGCCTGGAGCCTGTGCTCCGCAACAAGAGAAGCCACCGCAATGAGAAGCCCGCGCACCGCAATGAAGAGCAGCCCCCGCTCGCCGCAACTAGAGAAAGCCCGCGCGCAGCAACGAAGACCCAACGCGGCCAAAAATAATAAATAAAGGAGAGTGTTCCATACCTGTTGATTAGATTCAGTTGGCTGATGGTTGTCATGTACTGAATTGTGACTCCCCCAAAGATACAAAGTACTAACCCTCAGCAACTCAGACTGTGACCTTATTTGGAAATACGGTCTTTACAGAGATAAGTTAAAATGAGGTCATTAGGGTGGGCTCAGTCCGACATGACTGGTGTCCTTCTGAAAAGGGGAAACGTGGACACAGACGTGCACAGAGGGAAGAGCACGTGAACAGGCCCAGGGAGGAGGATGCCACGTGAAGACAGAAGGTTGCAGTGATGCGTCTACAGGTCAGGAGCGCCTGATGTCTGGCAAACGCCAGAACCTAGGAAGAGGCCAGGAAGGGCTTGCCCCAGAGAGAGTGGCCCTGCCAGCACCTTGACCTTGGACTTTCGGCCTCCAGAACTTTGACACAATAAATTTCTGTTGTTTTAAACTTCCCAGTTTGTGGTACTTTGTTACAGCCACCCAGGAAGCTAACACAGGGGAGGGCTCAGTTCTCCTGCATTTTGCCGCCTCTGTGACTAGTTTGACCTTCACTGAGAGAGGAGCACCTAGTCTCCAACAGTAACTTCAGATGCATCTATTTCTCCTCTCATTCTGTCACTTCTTGCTTTGTGTATTCTGAGGCTCTGTTGTTAGGTGCACACACATGTAGGATTGTTATATCTTCTTGGTGAATTTACTCTTGTATCAGTGTGTAATGTCCCTCTTTTTTCTTGGTAACAGACTTTTTCTGAAATGTGCTTTACTTTGTCTGATATTAAACATCCTGTTTCTTTTCATTGGTATTTTTGTGGTATACATTTTTCCGTCCTTTTACTTTTAACTAACCTATACTATATCTGAGTTTCTTAGAGATGGCATAGTTGGGTTGTAGGTTTTTTTGTTTTTAAGTTTCACGTTGACAATAATGTAATTATTGATATGCTAGATATAAGTTGACCATTTTGTGTTTGTTTTCTGTTGGTTCTCTCTGGGTTTTTTGTTTGCTTGTTGTTGTTTCTTTGACCACGCCATGCAGCACGCAGGATCTTAGTTCCCCAACCAGGGATCGAACCCGTGCCCCCTGCGTTGGGAGTGCGGAGTCCTAACCACTGGACCGCCAGGGAAGTCCCAGTATTCAATTTTAGTTCATCTGTTGTGATACTGACGCTCTCTCTTTATGGTTTTCGTGGTTGTTCCAGT